CCGAGGTACCTGTCTTGCGATCTGGATTCTTTTACGCACATAGAGATGGCCGTTCTCCGAAAGCGCTGAGTGTTATTTCAAGGAATTCCAGCTGGGATTTCATAGAGGGATGCCATGTGCTGATGTCGACCGCCTCTGTTATATATGTATGTCTATATATGTATATCTTTCAGGGAATGTGGCAATGTGTGTCCCCCGGATGTATGCGTAAGCGCCATGTGATTGTGTGGTCCGTCCGTCTTTCTCATCCCAACAACATTCCCTCTTCACCCAAAGCGTACCTTGTACCCGCGCTTCTTTTGACCTTACCCACCAGTATAACATGCCTACTTGGCATGTCCATTAAGCCCTCCCCTTCCCCACCTACCTCCATCTTCCCCTGGTACTGTCAGGCTCAAGGATGAGCCCCCAGGCATATGTGGCGCCATGTGTTGCCTGGCATGCAGGTCAGTGTCAAAGGTCAGACGCGGTGAAGAGATAGGGCGATGGTTGTGACCGGAGCTCGTGACTGACCTTGCATGACGGCGAGGCTGGCCGGGCACATCCGGCTCAAAGCAGCAGCAAGGCAATGACTTCCAGAAATTATAGCAGATCATGACTGACGTCTTGGACGCCAAGCTCTGGTGACACAGCGTGAGATGCGCACCCAGTGTGCTGTGGAGGGAGGAAGGAACCTTGCATCCTGGAACTATGCAGAGATTATTATTATTGTAGTAAAAGTCATTACAAAAAATACGAGGAATGTCAGTAGACACGTTGAAATGGTTTGTCATGCTGGAGAGGCTGCAAGGGTTAGGCGTGCATTCGCGTCTCATAATGAGATAAACATTATGCGAGCGTTGCGTCATTCAACCAGTTTTTGAGGAGATGAGAGAAGAAGGGAGGGAGGGAAGGGGCAAAGGGCGGAGGAAGAGAGGGATAATGTATACACCAATGGAAGGGCGGGGTGTTGGGAATGCAGGCGCTAGGTTGGGGGAAGGGGGAATATTCCTCGAGGGCGGAGGATGAGGTGGTGTCCTTGTATAGATGACCTTGTTCCGTGTACCTGCACAAGGTGGTACCCGGATGTGGTGACTCCATGCCCTTCTCTCTCTCTCTCTCTCTCTCTCTCTCTCTCTCTCTCTCTCTCTCTCTCTCTCTCTCTCTCTCTCTCTCTCTCTCTCTCTCTCTCTCTCTCTCTCTCTCTCCCCCTCACCTTCTCTCCCTCTCTCTATCTATCTATCTATCTCTCTCAATCTCTTTCTCTATCTCTTCCCTCTTCCGCCCCCCCCTTCCATTACCTTTCCTCCATCCCCCTCTATCCCTATCTCCATCTCTGTACCTATTTTCGCTTCTTAAAGATACCAAGCTGAGCATAAAGAGGGACACACTCGCTTCAGGAACCACCTTCTCACTTGCATCACGGTTGAGCACAGGCTTGTTATGATGCGAAGCGAGGATGCGGGGGCGTGGTGGGGCCAAGGGATTAACGCAGGCAACCACATGCTCGCCGCTGCATCCGAGGAAGGTGCAAAGAGACTGTAATACATATATTGAACACCCACAAGTTGCAGGAAGGCTATTTCGATCTTTGTTGTTCGTATTTCGAAAGCCCGTGCGTTGAAGCGTGATCGGAAGAATGCAGGGAGATAAACAAAGGAAAGGTGGGAAATAAACGAGATGGCACAGGGAATGCTGAACGGGAAGAAGCTTCACGGAACAGAAAGGCGGCAAGGGTGAGGTGCCAGGAAATTAACTTTTATGTTCTGCGTGACTTTTTTTCTGCGCTCATTTTAGGAGCCGTGCGGGTGTTTCCTCCAGGTGCTTTCTCTCGTGAGGAGGTTTCTCAGTAACAAGAAGCATGTATCTGGCGTGCCAACATCTAGGAACTCTGAGATCATTATCTATAAAGGTGGCTGTGGCATACCTCACCTATGCACGCATTGGGTGCATTCCGTGGGGGGAGGGGGGGTAGAGATAATCTTAGTGTTCGACTTTGTACGAAAATACATCACTAGTTTCCGTTGGTTACCCAATGTTGTTTTGTCTCATTTGTGTTGCCTTTTGGGTTGTAATACCCAAAATAGAGATGATATGCACGAAAATGATTATTTGTATTCAGATATGCATGGTCTGCATTGCTTTACGTAACCCCGAAGTAAGAGGATGTATCTCCCACAGTCAGCTGCACGTGGCGGTCATGCGTGGCTTCGTCGAGGTGGTGTACCACATCACGCGACTCCTCCCCCACCAGGCGCTGCTCGATCTCGCCAACCACACCGGCAGGGTATGTACCTTTACTCCCATTCCTGTCCTTTGGTAGATATCAAGTAGACGTTGATTTTGATTATTTCGCATGCTATACTTGGTGCATTTCCCTTTCGCAGTGAGCTTTTCGTGTGAAGTCCGTTCCGTAATTCGGTTTAGTTGGTAACATTGTACGAGTCGGCCATCCACAGATCCTCCTGAACTTGTGTTCATTTTGGATGTGGAACAGAATATAAACGCCAGATATTAGCGCCCGTCAGGAAGTGTATTTATCAGCTCAGGAGGGCGGAGTTAAGATTAGCAGAGGTCTGTGGGCACGGCGACCCATCTGAGGTGGGCGTGTATGGGGGGAGAAGGTCCAAAGAGGGAGAGGTGCGGGCGTGGGCGTGGGAGGGAAGGTGATAGCACTTGGATCGTGTTCCTTGGGGTTATCTCGCGCCGTGGCTGTGGGTCTTCGCTTGATTTCGTTTTTTTTCCAGGGTTCGCGGCTGTTCATTGTTTGTTTTTGTGTTCGTTTGTGTTTGTCCTTCGATGCACTGCCCATTTATGTATTTCATGTGTTCTCTATCTAAAGAAGTTCAAGACAGCCAATTTATAGTTGAAATCCGACACAAAAATCATCTTATCAGACTGGCCAGGCCTCCGTGGACAGCTCCACCTGTGATGCGCAACCTGTTCGTAACCATTCACTTCACTGGAAATACAATTTGTTCGAAGTGAGTTCACAAATGAAAAATAAGTAAAGTTCACACCCCATGAAACGGATACGTAACGTTTATTATCATGGCGTGTGCCTGTTGATGGGCGTATTACCGGCCTCACCCGCCCATTCATTCCTCCCACACGCCCGCCGGAACCTGTTTGTCGTTGCCGCTCCTCATTCATATGGACTCCCCCTCCCTGCTCTCCCCTCCCCCACTCCCGCACACACCCTCGACCCAACCCTCGCGCGTGTCCCAACTCCCAACGGTCCCGAAACGCGTAAATCAGTCGTAGGCCTAGTCTGTATTTCCGGTGGAGAGATTGTGTGTGTGTTTAGACATGGAATATTATCACTGACACGGGTCGATCAGGTGTTTTGATGGTCTGGGGTCATGCAGGTTGAAGGGAGTGGTCAAGTTTATTATATAAGCGTTTCCGGGTCATGACCCTTGATGGAGGGGGTTAAGGGTAGGGGGGTTAGGGATAGGGCGAAGAGATGGGAGGGGGAGGGGGAAGAAAAGGATAAGAAGTAAGGTCGAATATGGCGTGTCCTCTTCGACCGCTCGGGGCCTTGCAACTTACACCCCGAGAGGTTTTAAGATAAGAAGACGAACGGCTGAATGGGTCGACTCTCCCTCTTTTGTCCGTTGGAAGGAGTGTCCGGGATAGGGGGAGGGACGCGCCCCCTGTCTCTGTCCCTCCCAGTTCTCCCTTTCTCCAGCCGCTGTGTCGCGTCTGTGTCTTTCGCATTTTTTCTTTCTTTCCTTTTCTTTGGAGGTGGGAGAAAGATAGTTGCTTGTAATTCGGATATTAATTTGAGTGCTGGTCTGTTTCCTCCCCACCTCCGCTACACTCCTGCTTAGCCCCAAATCCTGCTTTAATCCCCGGAAGTGACCGCAGCAGACAAGTTATCTAACCCGGCAGAGACCAAAACAGTCTGTGCATGCCTCTCCTGCGTCTCCTCCTCCTCCCCCCCTCCCCATCCCCTTCCTATTCCTCTTCTTCCTCCTCCTCCTTTTTCTTCTTCTCCTCCTCCTCAGCCCCTTTTCCCTCTTCTTCCTCCTGCTTTTTCTTCTTATTCTTATTCTTCACCTCCTCCTCCTCATGATTATCGTCTTTCTCTTGTTCTTATTTCTTGTTCATCCACCTAACATCCCTCCTCCTCCTCCTTGTCTTTCGTAGAACACCCAAAGAGAAGGAAGGCGAGGCGGGGGCGTTGAAGAGGCAGGTAGGGGTAGAGGGAGAGCGAAGGGAGGGGGGAGGGGGAGAAGGCGACAGGTCTATGAACATTAGTGTTATCAGTGAACAAGGAGAGCCGCGTGGACCGTAGCTTCCCGCACCCAATCCTCAACTAGGTGCCAGGGAGGCTGTGCAAGGACTAGTTGAGGGAATGTTTTTTTTTCTGCCTTGGCCAGTTATTCAGTCTGGCTAAATTATTCATACTCCGTTCAGCTGCGAAAACGGAGTTGATTAACCGCGGTGGTTTGGAGGCGGAATGAGATGAGAACTTGATATCTCTGGATTGGGTACGGCTGGAGATTGTGTTGCAGAGTGTAGTTTACCTTAGCGGTATGTGATTCTTGGTACGTCAGGCAAGGGTTTAGGTACCTAGGATTGACTGGGAGGTGGACTAGGCACGTGGAATTGGCTGGGCGAAGGATTAGGGATTGGAATAGATCATGACAAACGACACAGGCCACGAAAGGTGAAGGTCGACTCATTAATTCGGAGTCAGAGAGGAAGAGATTCTTATGACTATAACTCACCTACGTCAAGGCTTAGGTGACCCTCGTGATATGACTCCTCTTGCCTTCCCTCCCTTTCCTGCTTCCCTTACTCCTCCCTTTTTGGTTTATTTTAGCCATGGCTGGACGATCGGATCTGGCCATGTTGCAGAGTGGTCTTCAGGAGTCTTTAAAACTATCTCCTATCTCATTCTTGGCACTCCCTGCCATTTAAATACACTTAAAGGCTAACGTTACGTTTTGGCTTTAGTTACAAAGAGAAATAAGAGATATTTGTGTATCAGTGTTTCTATCTTTCTGGCAACAATCTTCGCCCATTTGCTCCCAACCGGAGGGGACGAACCGAAGGGTGCGGCTGCTCTCGGCGCCTCGGTGTCTGGGGGAGAGGCTCACACTTCCTGCCCCCCTCCCTCCCCCCTTCTCCCACTCCACCCTGTGTCTGATGTCTCGTACCGACCCACTGGCCTGTCACACCCCTGAGAACCCGCATCATGCCTGATTGATACGATACAGCCATCACGTAGATAAAATCCCGCATTCTAATACGAGAGGAGATCACATTATAGCCAATTTGTGGTCTGGCTAAGGGCTGGTGATCTTATAATCTCAGTTGTCTCCTTTTGATAGAGAATGCCTTGCATAAACATTTCTGTTTATTTATCTTTTCGGCGTTATCATTAAACGGCCGAGTGTCAGAGGCGTGGCAGCGAGGGCTTAGAGCATGGTGCCAGGCGGTACCGTGGAAACAAAGTGCCAGCTCGTGAGAACCAGGGGCTTGTGGCGTGGTAAGGTGGGGTGGGGGTGAGGCGGACAGATGCTGGCGGAGGTGGCGGGGGGAGGGTGTCCTCGGGAGGGAGGGTGTCCCCAGACTGAAACGGTGCAGACGGCCTTGTAGCGATCAGAAGGCCGCGCCGATCCACGGTAGGCGCAAAGGAGCAGGGCTTCTTCCGTAAACTGTGCTGGTGCCATTCTGCTTTAGCTGTCGCTCGACTGTCTGCCACGTCAGAGGATGCGAGCACACAACATGAATATGCCGAGTCACCCATCACGTCCGGAGGCGGTTCTTCCTTGTTCCCGCCTAGCGAGCGTCGCTTCGACCCCGGTCACACTCTGGCGCTCGCCCGGGGGCTTCCCCGAGGGCGGAGCCGAGAGCCGCGGGGAGCAAGAAGGGAGGCGAGAGGCCGGGAGGAGGGTTCAGCTTGTGTTCAGGAGAGCGAGGGGGAATAGGACTGATTCGGAGCCTTTTCGGATGAGGAGTGGGAAAAAAGTTCCAATGCTTATTTAGCAAACCCTTTTCCTCTTTTTTTTCCTTTTCCTTGCTTCTAATTATGCCAGCATCACCAGTCACCGGCCTTGATATTCTGCTTTTCCTTGTCTGCTTCAAGTAGACATGCAGCACCATGATTCAGTGACTTAAAGCTTCAATAATTTTGGCCATGCTTCCCGGCTACGTTACGTACAAACCTCTGCCTGTATGTTGTCCCTGCAAGCGAGGATTGTCAAGCTGGATTGGGTTACAAAGACTAGCGAGACGGTTAGTGTTTCCGGCAACGCGTGTACTCATGTAACGCTGCAGTAAACCCCGCGCGGCGCGTCCTCCAGACTTCCTTGTTAGCCCTCCTCTCACTCCCCCTCCCCGGCCCGCCCTTCAGCACACACCACCTGTGCCACCTGCGACTCGACTGACCAACCCCATGCTCGTATCTCTTCCCAATTCCCAGACGCTGAACTTGCTTTAGTTTGCTTTCCTGCTCACAAGTCGTTGGGCGAATTCACGTCGGTCTTGGTGACTAGTGTGTGTCGAGGAAGTGCGTTGAACAGGTGTTTGTGTAAAGGAAGGAAGGTAAGGTTGGGGAGGAAGGGAAGGAGGGGGGATGAGTGGGCGTGGGGAGGGGGTTGGGTTATCAACACTTCCCGTCCACGGCTTTGGGAAGGTCGCCACAGACCCCGTTATTGGGGATCGCACGGCATCCACAAAGCAATTACATACATTTAAGGTAATTTCGCAGGACTGATTAAGGCTGTTTGTTTCTTGGAAAGATGGACGACGAGGAGAGAGTGTTTCGAGGGGCCTGGAAGGGCATGGGTTGTGTGTTGTAAGGTGTAAGAGCTTTATTTAGGGAAGTACGGAACGTGTGACCCGGATAGCTCGCCGGCTCCCGGAGCACTCCGTTTGTACATTGTCTTTCCGCTGTCCACGTGGATAGAGCGTTTCTATTTGGTCTTGAAGGTGTAGTCAGTAGGAAGACCTGTATCGAGATACTTAAATGATAACCGATAAGAGTCTGCATGGAGGATTGGTGTGTTGGTGGTCACCCCAGTGTTAGTACCTTGTGGCGTAACGGCATGTAAATCCTGGACTTTCCCCACTAACACAACCCAGCTCTTCCTCTTCCTCTTTGGCGTCCTGATCTCCCTGGCCATTGTTCTTCATTTCCCCGGGTAGCACTGCATCCATAATAAAAGAGATGTATCGTCTACTTTGATGTTAGGGAATGGACTATTTAGTCTTATGATTATGCAGTTATTTATTGTTCTAATCTTTCCTTCCAGACGGCTCTGCACTTGGCCGTTTCGGCTGGCGACGCGGAGATGGCGCGGCACCTGATCGTGTGTGGAGCATCACCCGTAGCGCGGGATCGCCGGGGCAACACCCCCCTGCACACCGCTAGCGGCCACGGAGACATCCACATGGTGACCCAGCTTACACGTCCTGTCACCGTGGCCGAGGTCATGCACGCCCGCCTGTCTTACGCCCCTGCACACACCGCAGGACTCCTTGCCGCTGACCTTACCAACTACGATGGTAAGTAGCATATGAACCTTGTCCTGGTCTATCATGTAACCCTTTATGTTGGCTCCATTATCGCATATTAGAATCAGTGTTATCTGAAGCGCCTCCGAACGCGATGTCCCTCGGGATTTCCACGCAGCATTTCGTTTTGTGCCGGCTCGGGTCGGCCGCCGCGGTCCGACGCATCTTATCGCCTGATATTATAACAGCTGATGGCTTTCACGACGCCCCTCACCTTCCACCCAATAAGCAGTTTGTGTCCGAGGGCGTGACCCCCGGAGGATACACCCAATGACACCGGGGCTCCTGCGGATGTTAATAAATTTGTTATTGATAAGGCAAGACAGACGAGTCGCGAGAAGAGCCAGGGTACGTCATGACGGTCTGGGGCATCTGGCGTCGCTGGGAATCCTGCGGGTGTTGTCAGCGTGAACGCGGGTCACTGAGTCACCCGCGGTTACGCAGCGGGTGCCGTGTGCGTGCGTCTCGCCGGGTGAGATCATCCCCCAAACAGTTGCATGACTACGAGATTAGTCCTCGCTTCCCGTCGGAGATGCAGGATGTATGGACGTCTGCGTGGATGAGGGAGGAGGTGGCGAAAGAGTTGGCCCAGGGATGGTTCATATAAATGTCATTATCTCCTCGTTCTCCCAATATGTCAACATTATGTAACCTACTGGGAATGTAGCTGCGTAATCAGTCTATCTACAAGCTACTCGTACCCTCGCAACCAACAACAGCGGTCTCAAGTGTTCAAGATACACAAAGAGGCTGACTCCTACACCGATAAAAAAAACGAAAATTATTAGCTATTAGCTCGACCGAGACGAAGAGTAGAATGATGACGTTTGCCTCCTTGCTCCTTCTGCTCGGTCGGATGATTCATATTTTGTTTTGAAATCAACTGAATGGAACTGCTGTCTCATTCTATGGATAAACTCATCTTCACTTCGCTTTTAATAAGTTGCTTGATTATCATGTATGCATTTATTTTATCTACATTTTCGTGGAGGATGAGGAAGGGAGTTGTGTAAGCTTCACGGGTCTGCCTTAAACCCAGATGAATGAAAGACCCACCTAGAGGGTATCACTGGCGACCTGGGATTTCCAAGGCGGTCCTTCGTCTGTGACCCCCTCCTTCTTCCCTCCCGCTTTCCTCCCCTTCCCTCTTCCTTCCCTCCCCCTTCCCTCCGCTTCTCTTCCCTTCCTTCTCTTATCTTATCTTCTCTTCTCTTCCCTTCTTCCTTTCCCTTCCCTACCCTTCCCTTCGCTTCCTTCCTTTCCTTCCCTCTCCTCCTCCCCTTTCCTTCCCTTTCTCTTTTCCCTTCCTTTCCCTATCCCTTCCTCCGCTTCCCTTCCCTTCCCCTTCTCTTCTCTTTCCTTTCCCTTATTTCCCTCCCCCATATATGCTCTCCAGCACCCTATACCCCTTGCTTCTACATTTCCTTCTCCCCCATTTTGCGTGTTCTTAAACAGTGCCCTTCTGATAAGTCTGGATTTTAATCTTGTGCATACATACTGTACACACGCATACACACACACGCACACGCAACACGCACACACACACACACACACACACACACACACACACACACACACACACACACCACACACACACACACACACACACACACACACACACACACACATTCACTCATTCACGCATTCACTCTTTCACTCACTCGCACACATGTACACACGCATACACACACAGTATAGATATTTTTCTCTTACCTCTCTTTACTTTTCATCAACATTTTTATCTACATTTGCTCCTTTTGTTTTTAACTTCGCCCCTTCCTGTCTACTGCAGTCTTTTTTCACGCCAGTTTAGATAATTTTTTGTGTTTTATACTTACATGAGTTGTTTTACTTTTATTCGATTATGTTTCTGTGTTTGTATAGTTTTATTGTTTTTATTTGCGGCATTCAGTGCTCTGTCATGGGTTTTATTCTAGTGTAAGAGGTTTTTGATATTATGAGATTATTTGTGTCGTTTCAAATGCTTTTACTCCCTTCTTTATCATACTGTGTTCCAGTGTTTATGACATTGCTAATTCGCCCATAATCATCACTCTGAAACAGTGTTTATTGTGTTCTGATCTGGACATTGATAAGGCAAACACAAACAGAAGAGGAAGAAAGAAGGAAGAGAGAAATGAGAGATGAAAAGCCGACAAAGCTGACTGTAGACGGGCGCGCGAAGGTGGTTTACGCCGTGTTCGGGGGACCAGTGTTTACATCAGCGACCCCAGTTGTAGGGACGGACGGGTTTGTCAGGGAATCCCGCCTGTTTTGAGCCTTCCTCCTCTCGGCCACAGTCCAGCAGGAGCTTATTCTGAACATTATGATGAGTATTACGGCCGCGTTTTTGCTGAGAGGGATCCGATGTCGAAGGGAAGGCTCTCGAGGTCGAGGTTCCCTCTCGGTTCTTGTCTGGTATGCTGTTCGGGGGCCAGAATGTGTGGTTCATGGTGGCTGCAGTTGTTGTTTGGGGTAAATTTGTGGAGATTTGTGATAATGATAGGAATAACATGATTAGAGAATGATAACGATACTAAAGATAGGACAATTGCCTATTGCAATGGCATTTACAAGCCGACTGAGATAAGAAGGAAAAGAAATGTATACATGATGATAGATCAACGTTACCAGATGAATAAGACGCATCACAAGAGTGTTTTCCTTGTCTCCAAGCCCTCTCAGTCCCAGCTTAAGATTCCTTCCGGCTCCCAGTGGGCGGCGCGGCGCGGCCTGCCTCTTGTAATGGCTGGCTTTGGGCGGGGAGGGAAGGTGCGTCCTCCAAAAAATACCCACATGACAGAGGCAGACGAGGGGTCACATGGGCGAGGTCATACCAGGGCCACCTGTTGGCGCCATGCCCACAAGCCATGCCAACTGACATGCCAAGGCCCGTAACCAGCTTACTCTATTTATAAAATTTATAATTACAACAAAAATGGGCGTCGCATATTTTCCTCTAAGAGACTGTGATAATGAGGGTAGAGGTAACTGTTAAGGGTAATGCGACGAGACAAACTGATGGACCTTAAGTGCATCTCATTGTTGTTTTTGCCTTTACATACACACACACATTCATAGATATATATTCATATATACATACATACATGTAAGTAGGAATATACTTATACATGCACATAAACACAAGCATATGTAGAGTAAATGATAAATGTATACTAAATGCAGAGTGTAACATATTTTTTGGATATGAGACATAATTGAGTTTCGTTGATATTCATGTCCTGATTTTTATTCTGTCGCGGATTTCGCACATGGCGTCCCATACCAAGCAGGAAGGCACGCGCAGTCCTTTGTTGTGGATTCCTCCTCGAGCGAGGATAAAGTAGCACCGCATAAGCAGGAGTCACTGGGAGCAGCGGTTCAAATCGACCGCGTTCGACCGAGCCTCTGACATTGCGCCTGCGAGGGGAAAGGCGTGATGCCTCGGCCTCGTCTCGGCCGTACATTTGCGATTCTTTCATTGTGCTAAGTCGTGTGCCTTAACCACCGGAGGGATTAGTGAGTACGTAAACGTGGCAACACCGGTTTGTGTGGAGCGCGACCGTAGCCATGTATGTCCTGAACTCCAGGTTGCCAAGCTTCCCTCTCCCTCATCTGCCAAAGCGACGTAACATCCGCCGCTTTCTCCCTCGCCGAACACTGAGCTGGTGACGCCAAGATGGCATGTCTGCCGCCAGCGGCTGTGTCCAGCTGGCACGGTGACCACTGGGCCTGCCGCGCGGATGCCTGCCTGACAGGGCGCGCATGTGAGGGGCAGCGCCTCCCGCGGTCGCCTTTATCGCTGATCCCAGGAACATGCGGCACTGTCGTTGGTTGCCCTTTGCTTTAGGCCGGTGCTTTTGCCCTCCTGTGGCACCTGCATTCTTGGGCTGGATGGCATGTGCCTTTTTCTCCCCGTCTCAAATTCCCAAGCTATTTGCTGCAGTGGGTAGTGGTGCTTCCAGCCCTACCCTGTAGTGCAGGGTTGGGCTTTTGACGACCTCCAAGGGACGCCTGGACGCCATCCTCCTGCAGTGTCTGAAACTGAAGCTGGTTTTACAGAGCTCTCGCTTTAATGGGAGAAGTTAGGTCGTTGTAGCTCTGATATTTTAGACAGTCCAAAAGCATCCAAAGAAACATTTCAGAAAGGATGCACCTCACGACACCTCATATGTCGGATGGATGTATGGCCATTAAGATTAATAACAATTGTGTTAGATGATGATACAAGTATATACATATATTTTGAAAGGGGAGATAATGCAATATAATACGCGGGAACAATAACCATTGGAGATAATGTGAGACATCTTGGAATGACGAGGCAACTTTGGATTTGAGGCGAGAGGCTTTCTTATGATCTGAGATTGCGCTCGATTCCTTCTATCATCTGATCTCCTCTAATGTACATCCAGACTTTGGCCTGAATTTGGATGATGGACAACCTAAAGAATAGTGATTTAAGTTGGGTCTCTCGTGATAAAGAAAAACAATATACACTACTAAGATATTCTTCTACGTCATCTGCGAAATCCCCACAAATAACGATATTTTCGTCTCAGTTTTTAGTTTCATTGCGCTATTACCGAGCAGTTGTAAGGAAATGCTCGTACATTGTCGGTATTGATTGGCGATGATAGTTCAGAATTGTTGATATTTCCTCCTTTGTTCGGAATTCCGCAACAGTTAATGACTGGCGTTCGGTTTCGATGGCCGAAACGAATGACAGGCCGGGGCAGCCCAATCCGGAATAAATAAGTAGTATAGATCAGCGTGCGGTTGGGGAATACCGCTAGGCGAGTAGACAGGCTCGACCGTGAACGGGTTTTCCAGAATAGGGCCGGATTAACCTATTTAGCCTGAAAGAAAATATGTTCAGGCTGTTTCAAATAGGGAATAGCCTTGGGTAGGTTTGGCGTCTGTACGTATAGTTCAACACATACAGTGTGTGTGTGTGTGTGTGTGTGTGTGTGTGTGTGTGTGTGTGTGTG